CATTATTGTTCATATTGATCAATATGGCTGTAGATATGGTGGTGTTGGTCTTGATTTCAATGCTGCTTATTAGAGGTTAAAAACAGAGAAAGTGAAGATGGAGGTTGGAACAAAAGGTTTGTGGGCAGAGGGGGAGAAGGAGGGTGGCAGTGGTGTGTGTGGAGGGTTTGAGGGCAAAAAAATAAATGAAAGGAAGAGTGAGACATTGGGGTAGTGGGCAATGGAAGTTGAGCCAAACGATGGAGATGGAAAAAAAGAAAAGAAAAGAAAAAAATCACCTCGTTCTCCTACCATCTTACTCTGTTTTCTGTTTCCTACTTTTCCCCATAGATGACCATTTCTTTTCCTCTCTCTTTCATGCTCTCCAATCAAAACTCATTTACTCTCCTTGTTTTAGTTTTGCCTTCTCTCATCTGTTGCTCTTTCTCATTCTTTCTAATTTAAACCCAAATCACACCAACAAAAAAAAAAAAACTAAATTCCGATTAAAAAATAATCACAAATCAATATCACTATCCAAATCTTCTAAAGACTTGACTGAAACCTCAAACAATGATTCAATACAAAAAAAGCTCATTAAAGCTCAAATCTAGAGCAAAGAAATAAATCTCCAATCAAATAAAAACCCAAACGAAATAATTTTATCTGAATATTATGTTTTTGTAATTAACATTCTAACATTATTTGTGTGTTTAATCTTATTGCTTATGAAGCCAAATGGATTACTGTAGGTTTTGATTTGCTGTGTGTGTCAATTTCCGACCACACTGCCAATCAAGCACTCAGCTGGAGAACACTAGCAGAATAGATTAAGACCGAACGACCTGTCACAAAAAGAAGAGATTTCGGCGGTGGTTCGTCCACCCGGGGGTACTCCGACGATCAAGTCAGTTATCTCTCAAAGATAGCAAAAGTGCTTAACTCACTATTCAAAGCATAAAAAACATACTTTTGACCCATGATGGTGCCTCCCATTTGTAGCCAACACATACCAAGTCCCAAAAGAAGCCTAGCTTCAATGGACTTAGGATTACTGCTAATCTTGGACTCCCAGTAGGATTGGGATAAACTCTCTAAGAGTTTATCTTTACCCAAACTAAAGTCCTCTCTCATTCTAGGATTCTTGTCCCTTATCCGCTTATCTCGGATTCCGGTATCTTTGCAGATAGCCTCGGCCTAGCCGAGATGATCTCGACGTCATGACCAGGACACGTGGCACCTCGGCTGGCACTTCGGTGACACCTCGGCCGGCACTTCGGTGACAACTCGGCCACGTGTTATCATTCAAAAAATTATGTCCCCATAACTGCCCCCTAGGTTCTATTATCTCGGCATCCTGAGGTGATGAAACCTATATCATTCATTCCTTTAATCATGATCCTGGTTTAACTTCAGCTTGTAAATTTTTCTTAAAATTTCAACAAGTAGTAAACATGGCCTTAGTTTAACTTCAACTTGTAAATTTTTAAAATTTCAACAAGTGTTAAACATGTCCTCGGTTTAACTTCAACTTGTAAATTTTTAAAATTTCAACAAGTATTAAACATAACCTCGGTTTAACATCAACTTGTAAATTTTTAAAATTTCAACAAGTGTTAAACATGATCTCGGTTTAACTTCAACTTGTAAATTTAAATTTCAACAAGTGTTAAACATGACCTCGGTTTAACTTCAACTTGTAAATTTAAATTTCAACAGGTGTTAAACACATCCTCAGTTTAACTTCAACTTGTAAATTTAATTTCAACAAGTGTTAAATATGACCTCGGTTCAACTTCAACTTCAACTTGTAAATTTAAATTTCAACAAATGTTAAACACATCCTTGGTTTAACTTCAACTTGTAAATTTAAATTTCAACAAGTGTTAAACTAATCTTAGCTTGTAAATTCCAACTCCCAAGCATCATTCTCCAGCCCTTTTTGATTCTCCATGCCCGACGTCCCGTGAAGGCCGGTGAGAATGCCCCTTTGCCCTGTCGTGCTGAGGGACTGCAGGAACTGTGTTTTGCCCCCCTTTCTGGGCATCTTTCTTGGCTGCTGGAATCGGCGTATCTTGGAAAGGGAACGGTGACTGCATGACGTTGTTCTGCATCATGAAATTGACGACCGTTTGCAGGTCTACCAATTTGTTCACCATTCCCTTCATCTCGTCGTCCCGCCGTAGGCATTTATCTTTCCATACTTGGAGGTCGTCCTCATTATGATACCCGCTCTGATCCGATTTCTTCAGTACGCCACCCTCCTGACCGACGTCCTTTTCTCTGTGATTCTTATCACGAGTATCTTCGGTGCAGTTGTCTTCTTCAACGTCAAGGTCAATATGTTTTCCACTCTCAGTAGGGGTGTCGTCCCTAACCTTCTCTTTCTGTCTGTCGTTGGCCATCTATTCTCCTTTCTTTCCCACAGACGGCGCCAAATTGTGTGTCAATTTCCGACCACACTGCCAATCAAGCATTTAGCTGGAGAACACTAGCAGAATAGATTAAGCCCGAACGACCTGTCACAAAAAGAAGAGATTTCGGCGGTGGTTCGTCCACCGGGGGCGCTCCGACGATCAAGTCAGTTATCTCTCAAAGATAGTAAAAGTGCTTAACTCACTATTCAGAGCATAAAAAGCATCCCTTAGACCCATGATGGTGCCTCCCTTTTTATAGCCAACACATACCTAGTCCCAATAGAAGCCTAGCTTCAATAGACTTAGGATTACTGCTAATCTTGGACTCCCAGTAAGATTGGGATAAACTCTCTAAAAGTCTTATCTTTATCCAAACCAAAGTCCTCTCTCATTCTAGGACTCTTGTCCCCTATCCGCTTATCTCGGATTTCGGTATCTTTGCAGATAACCTTGGCCTAGCCGAGATGATCTCGGCGTCATGACCAGGACACGTGGCACCTCGGCTGGCGCTTCGGTGACACCCCGGCCGACACTTCGGTGACACCTCGGCCACGTGTTGTCATTCAAAAAATTATGTCCCCACAGTTGCCTTTGAGAATGATAGGAAGAGATGCAGAAGAGAGTTGATCAGTTACTTTGTTGTGTTGGTTAAAAGTAAAACGGAAGGAAGCATGATTATGTTGTGTTGATCAAAAGTAAAAAAGAAGGAAGCATAAGAGGAATATAAAAAGAAGGTAAATTCAATCTCATATAACCCACCAGCTCATGGAGTGTTTTAAGATATTTGAGGATATTATGGATATTTTAGTATTTATCTTTGATGACATCAGTAACTTCTGCTAGTTGTGTGAACGACAGTTAAAAAATGAAAAAGTTTTAATATTGTCAGTTAAAGTAAGAAAAACTTCTGTAATTATTGAAATCATAGAAAATATTTTTATATTTATCAAAAAACCTTAAGCGAAGTAAGTGTAATTTACGCCACATAAAAATATACTCTGAAATTTATTCAAAAAAGTAAGTGTAATAGCTTTAAAACTACGCATGATAAATGGAGTTGATTGACTAACATTTTAGATATAAAAATGCTGGACATTAAGGTGTCGTTTGGTAACACTTACGTTTTCAGTTTTCTGTTTATATTTACAAAAATTTAAAAAACTCAAATAAAAACTTGTTTGGTAAAATTTTTGATTTATAAATCAATGGTCTCAGTTTATAAATTTGGCCAAAAAATGAAAACACAAAAAATGTTTTTCCATTTTGAGTTTTCAGTTTATTTTTTTTTTTTACCATCCAACACTAGTCACCACCCGCCACCATTTTCCACCACCGTCTTCCGCCACCACTACCCACCACCCACTTGCCACCATCACTCACCACCCACCTGCCACCCCCACCTACCAAGGAGCAAATGTAAGAGGAGCTAATTTGAGCCCACTAAATTAATTAGGCCTAATAGTCAAAGGTTGGTGGGCTTGAATTTATCGCAAATCCAAGATTGGTGGGTCCGAATTTATTGCCATCAAACGAGCTGAATGGCCCTAAGCTTCGAAAGGGTTCAGATCTACAAACTTAGAGACTTACTCGGGCCCGGACTCGAAAGGGTATTAAGCAAGCCTAGAGATCCGAGGCACTTGGACTCGAAATGGTTCTGATCCATGAACCTAGAAGTCCGACGCACTTGGCTTCGAACGGATTCAGACGCAATCTAGAAGTTGCTTTGTTAATGAGTCCCAAAACACTTGCGGGCTCGGAGCTTTCCGGGATCTACACACCAGAACCATGGGCGTAATGGAGTTCGAACAAAGGACCCGATCCCGAGGACGGTGAGTGGAGACAAATTCACTCTTCGATTAAACTCTGTCACCGACGACTATATATTAGAAAAAGAAAGAGAAAAAGTAAGGCATAGTCACTGATCACCGAAAATCATGAAGAGAAAGAGGTAAACAAAAAAGAATGCATAGAGAATAATGAACAAGAAAAATACGTAGTGGACTTTTGAGAGTATTCAAAAGATTGTGGAACTAAATAGACTTATCATCTTTTAAATAGGACTTCCAAGTAATTTGCCCATACAATAACATACTATCCCAAAATATTTTGGGTGCCTCTATTTATATACCACATTTTATCTCAAGGTAAACCACTACTCAAGGCACACTTTTAATAATTTGATAAATAAATGTTTTGCTCAATACACACCACAATTTTTTATCTTTACCGCCCGCCACCGTCCACCCACCCACCTGCCACCACCTACCGCCACCAGCTACCCACCACCCACCGTCACCACTTTTCATCACCGTGTTCTGCCGCCACTTGCCATCACTTGCCATTTCTCACTCTTTTTTATATTTTTAATTTTTTTTAAACATTTTGTCAATTACCAAATGCGTTTGTAGTTTATGTTTTTCTAAAAATAAATAAAAAATAAACAAAAACCAATTTATAAAATTTTTGTACATATAAACTAAAAACGTAAACGTTACCGAACACACACTAAATAACTATTAAATTTTCTATCAAAATTTCCCACTTGCAATTGATAATTCATATGATTTCTCTAATATTGCTCTTTAGATTATTTTTTATTTTTCTCTCTCCCTCCTCCCCTCTAGGTATAATTATGCTCTCATGCAACTCACTAATTTTGACACCGCCACACAACTCGCCCACTGGAGACAATGGAAGCAATTGTCATGTATCCATCTCCGGGGATCGGGCACCTAATCTCAATGGTGGAGCTAGGTAAGCTCATCCTCAACCACCACCCATCCTTCTCCATCATCATCCTCACCACCACTACTCCCTTCAACACCGGCTCCACCTCCCCTTACATCCACCACGTCTCCTCCACCACTCCCTCCATCACCTTCCACCACCTCCCTCCTATCTCCATCCCTCTCGACCCCAACTCTTATCCCTCCATTGAAGCCATCACCTTCCAAACCCTCCTCCTCAATACTCCTAACGTCCACAGTGCCCTCCAATCCATCTCACTCACATCCACTGTCTCCACCTTCATCATCGACTTGTTCTGCACTCCTGCTCTCCCTATCGGCGCCCAACTCCAAATCCCCACATACTGCTTCTTCACTTCCGGCGCTGGTTGCCTTGCTTGCTACCTTTACCTACCCACGATTCATCGAAACACTACTGGAAATTTTAAAGATATGAACACACTTCTCCATTTTCCTAGCTTACCACCACCAATACCCTCTTCCGATATGCCGAAGCCGATGCTCGAAAGAACCTTCAGGGAATACGTATGCCTCATCGATTTCCTTACCCAGATGCCCAAAGCCGATGGAATTATTGTAAACACGTTCGAGTCGCTTGAACCCAAAGCTGTTAAAGCAATAATGGATGGTGTTTGTGTTCCCGATAGTCCTACGCCTCCGCTCTATTGCATCGGACCGCTGATCGCATCTGATGACCGCCATGGAGGTGGCGGCGAAGGCGGAGAAGTACATGATGAGTGTTTAAGTTGGCTGGACTCGCAACCGAGTGGAAGCGTGGTGTTTCTATGCTTTGGAAGCTTGGGTTTGTTCTCGGCGGATCAATTGAAGGAGATCGCAATTGGGCTGGAGAGGAGTGGGCTGAGGTTCTTGTGGGTGGTGCGGAGTCCACCGCCAGAGGACGAGAGCAAGATCTTTTTTGCAACTCCCGACCCGAATTTGGATTTGTTGCTGCCCGATGGGTTCTTGGATCGGACAAAGGAGAGGGGTTTTGTGGTCAAGTCATGGGCCCCACAGGTCGCGGTGTTGAAGCATGACTCGGTGGGTGGGTTCGTAACTCATTGCGGGTGGAACTCGGTGCTGGAAGCTGTGTGCGCGGGCGTGCCCATGGTGGCGTGGCCGCTTTATGCGGAACAAAGGATCAATAGGGTGCTGTTGGTGGAGGAAATGAAATTGGCCTTGTCGATGAATGAGTCGGAAGGTGGGTTTGTGACGGCAGATGAGATGGAGAAGCGAGTTAGTGAGTTGATGGAATCAGAGAAAGGAACGGCGGTGAGAGATCGAGTCAAGGTGGCAAGTGAGGGTGGTCGTGCTGCTATGAGTGAGGGTGGGTCGTCTCGGGCTGCATTGGCTAAATTAGTTGGGTCATGGAAGCGGGATTGGGTTGACTGAGATTTGGTCTCGCTAGAGTTTGTAATAATGTTTAACTGGTCGGTTTCATTATTTTATGTGAAATTGTGTTATGTATGCAATTTGGATTCGGCATTGAATAACTAAATAAGTTTTGGTACCCCCAAATTGGTGGAATTAAAAAACTCTTTGGTAGACGATGGCGCGACACTTCTGTGAACCCGTTGCTGTGGTAGAATCGTTTAAAATGATTTGGTCATATTCAACGGAGACCAATAGAGGCAGTAGTGAAGAGATGCGATGCTGTACCGGTAGGTGGAAGTGTTAGGGAACGGGGTAGGCCTAGATTAACGTTGACTAGCGTTTTAAATAGAGATATGAATCTACTTAATTTGACTAATGAAATGGCCTTTGATAGGGCCGCGTGGGAAAGAAGGATTCATGTAACCGACCCCATTTCATGGGACTTAAGGCTTGGTTTGGTTTGGTTTGGTTTATTTATTCTAAAATATTTATATTATTTTTTTTATCTATTTATTTTAAAATGTTTTTTGTTAAAAATTATTTGTTTTATTTATTTTCTTACAAAAATAAAATAAAAGGAGAGAGAGGGAGAGGAGAAGAAAAACAAACCCAAGCCCAACTCTCCTATTTATGATGCAAACAAATCATGTAGTAACCCAAACAATAAATAAAACAAGTCACAAGTCCAAACAAATGTTTGTATGGGTCCAAAAAAAAATCCCAAGCCCCATAAAAATTTCCAAGCCCAACTCTTACGTTTATAGCTTACAAGCCCATACAAATGTTTGTATGAGTCTAAAAAAAAATCCCAAGCCCAATAAAAATCCCAAGTCCAACTCTTATGTTTATAATTCCCAACCCTAGCAGCTGCTGCTTTTTCTTCACATGCTTCTTCGCAGCCTGGTCTGCTTCTTCTTCACAGCATAACCCTTGCAGTAACAGCTGCTTCTTCGCAAGCTAGTTTCTCTCTCTCTCTCTCTCTCTCTCTCTCTCTCTCTCTCTCTCTCCTTCTGTGTCGCCATCGCTCCCATCTAGTTAGATCGGCGATTCTATTTCGACAGAGACGCGATTCTATCACAAATCTTGCACGAATCGCTGAATCGCGATTCTAGATGAGAATCGTCTCCCATTTCGACGATTCCCGCTACTAAGGTCCGCTGCTCCTAAAACGGCATAGCTTCACTTTTCTTTTTGTGTGTTTTTTAGATCTTGTTCTCACTATGCTGGTTGCATGTTATAGTTGTGTATGAAAATCATAATTAATATATATATTTTTTAATTTTAGAATTAAATTATTAAGTTGTTAAAGTATATATAAAAATTAAAATCTATTTAGTATCTAAATTATTAATTAAATCTATTAAGTTTCTAAAGTATTTAATTCAATCTTATTAAGTACTAAAAATATTTAATTTAAACCTATAATTTAAATTTATTTAGTCTTTGGAACAATTACAAATATAAATTTTAAATCCATAAGTATTGTAAATTTGCAACAGACCTTATCTAACTAAAGTTTTATTTAAAAAAAGCGTAAAATTTTATTTTGTCTTTTACAATGGCTACTTGCTTCCTTTTATTTACTATTATATGTGGGATTTTGTTTACAATTGTTAATTGATTGTTTTTAAATTCTTTGTTGGGTTCTTTTTATAATTTAATTAATGTATTATATTATTATATTATTATTTCTAATGAAATATTATTATTTAAATTACTAATTCTACTTTTTAAAAATATCTAACACTTGTATAATTTTATTAATAAGATTTAGAAACCAAACTTTCATACTAATTGAAATACACAACAAAAAAAACATATTTTTTTACAGGCACATAGAAATATAAGATTTTTTTGGAATACAAACTTAACTATATAGGATATTTTACTAGTTTCTAATACTTCTAGACTTATATTTTATTTTTTTAATTATTTCATGGACTAAATAAGGTTAAATTAAATACTTTAAGAACTTAATAGAGTCAAAGATTGATTACACTTTCTATCTGTAAACTGTTGCCAAATTGTTTATTTATTGCTTGAACTATCAATTGAATCTACTCAGTCCCAAAGTATATAAATCAAAATTTATTTAGTCATTAAACTATTAATTGAAACTATGAAGTCTCTAAAATATTTAATTTAAACATATTTAGGTCATGGAGTGATTACAAAAATAAAATATATGTCCATAAGGATTATCAATTAGTAAAAGATCCTACTCAATTGAAAATTTATTCAAAATTCTTAAAATTTTAATTTATTATTAAAAAGTGTTTTCATTGTGTTTAAATTAATATTAGAGTATGATTTTTAGTCCTGCAAATAAAATTATATGAATATTAAATTTGGATAAATTACACTTTGCTCTATTTATGTTTGGCCACTTTCTCACTTTGGCTTTTAAAGTTTGTTTTTTCTCACTTTGGCCATTTATGTTTTAAGTTTTTCTTACATTACTCCTAAAGTTAATTTTTGTTTAAAATTAAACATAAAATGTCACATTGACAGTCACGTGGAGTAAAAATATTTTATTATATAACTCATTTTTTGACATAAACTTAAACTCTAATACAATAATATATTTTCTTATATTATGTGCCAATTATTGTGGCATTTTTTGTCTAATTTTGAACAAAAGATTGCTTTAGGAGTAAAGTGAGAAAATTGTAAAACTTGAAGGGCCAAAGTGAGAAAAACGAACATTAAGGACCAACGTGAGAAAGTGGCCAAACATAAAAGGGGCAAACTATAATTTAACGTATTAAATATACTGAAGAAATATAATTAGATAATTTAAATATTAATATTTTGTTACAAATAATAATAATAAAATAATAATATATTAATTAAGTCATAAAAAAAACTTAGCGAAAAACTTAAAAACAATCAATTAAAAATTGTAAATAAAATCTGGCATATATAATATTAGATAAAGCACTCAGTCATTGTAGAAGATACAAAAATACTATAGATAATTACTCTTATCTGTATAAAGGAAATTCACCATAAAGACTGACACCCACTTTTAAAGGCAGAATAAAAATTTAAAATTTTTTCCTTGATAGAATCTTCTACTAATTTATAATACTTGTAGACTTATATTTAATTTTTGTAATTCTTTCAAAGACTAGGCTTGATTTAAATATTTTAGAAACTTAATAAATTCAATCGATAGTTGAGGAACTAAATAAACTTTGATTTATATATTTTAGGCAAAGGTGTTCAAAAATCCAAATCACCTGATGATTCGACCTGAACCCGACTGACCCGACCATCATTTGGGCTGTTTCGCCAATCAAGCGGTCAATTCCGGTTAAATTTCATAAAAAAATTTCAATTTTCAATTTTCAATCGAATGTGAAGCTGAATGATTCAAAATTTGTCTAACCCGAACCAACCATATTATGTATATGGATATATTTATATTCTTCAATAATGGTGTTAGGTTTGTTCACCTAGAGATTTTAAAGGTGTGAGACTCTACGTTAATTTTATTTCTTGTTTCCCCAAAGCAAATATATGTTCCCAATGTATAAACTGACACTAATTAATAAGTAAATAAATAGGAAAAATGATTTGACTACACAACAATTTTTTTGTCTTCCCACTCTTCAATCCTCTCGTTTCTCTATCTCTCCCACTAAAAGTATCTCCAATGGTTCATCAAAAAATTTATTAAATTTGAGTAAAAAAAAGAAGAATTTCTCAGTTTGATATCAGCCACTCCAACGGTATTTCATCAAATCATCAAAACACTGGACTATTTCGCTTTTTAGAGCTATTTCGGTGACTACCAAAGCTTCACTGAACTCATGCCTCTACTAAGAGAGAGAGAGAGAGAGAGAGTGAGTGAGAGAGAGAGCGAGCGAGAGAGAGAGGGCTTGAAGAAGACTACCCACAAAATCAAGAATCCATGAAATGCAGTTTGGATCCTGATTGCAGCCCATTCTTGCCTCACAGCCCTGAAATCTTTAGGCAGAGCTCGGACCATAGTTGCTACAATAGATGTAAAAGTGTCAGTAGTGACCAATGAAGAATCAGAGCCCTTTGATGCAACACCCCAATAATTCCCTTTCAAACCCTTCAATTTGGAACCCAGATGCCCTGATGAACTCCTCCATAGCTTCCATTTCTTGCTCTTACATCTCCTTTTCTCCTAGAGAAAAAAAAATTAATTACAACACAGATGAGATGAGAAAGAAAAATCTGTAGATTCAATTCATATCAACCTTCAATTTATTCCTGATGCCACAAAAGTAACCTGTTTGAACCAGTTTAGGCAAACCAGTTCAGGCCAACCAAAAATTGAAAGAAGTTGCATGCACCGGTCGACCGGTGGGTCAACCTGTCGGACGTCCGGCCGGTTGACCTGTAGGCCTCACTCCAACGTTAACAAACAGTGAACTGGTGAAATCTCAGGCGCATCCTCAGTTTGATGAAATTTTTGATTCGTTCTCAGTTTGATATCAGTTTGGTGAAACCATTGGAGACAGAAAATATAAATTTTTTCATCAAATTCAAATCTGATGCCGCATCTAGTGCAACGTTGAGATGGTCTAACGCATTTTTATCTCCATTTCTCTCTCTCACCCTTCCCATCAATAAATTAAAAAAAAAAATTCCTTCCCAAGAAGAGATTTGACTAGTCACTGGTCCCCTTAATTCTCTCATTTCTCCATCTCTCCTTCAGACCTCTCTTATTCCTCTCAACTGCACTCTCTCTTTCGTCTCTATTTTTCTCAGTCAAACATTTCATTACCCTCACCCTTACTCCGATCTCTCTACCCTCCATCCTTCTTGTCTCAACAGTTTATTTAGCTTATTTTTCTCCCTCATATCAGATCTACATCTCTCACGATTTACACTCTCTGAATATGTCACTGCTTACTTTCCTTGCGATTGGAACTTCTCACTCTGAGATCATGACAGCAAACGGCCTGAGATTGTGATGGAGGAAGGAAACGGTGCAAAAGCATGGCAATGAAACCTTCAGACCTTCATCCTTTGAAAAATCTCTCCTCTTTCTCATACCCTCTAATTTAAAATCTATTGTTCAAGCTTGATTATAGCACCGATCGAAGTCCGACCGTAGTTTTTCCAACCAGAATTGAACAGTTTTAAACAATGATTTGGTCGGCATC